GCTACAGTGTTGGCGGGGTCTGACGATTGAAGGGGCCGAATGTGGCAATCGATCGTGCCAAGATCCACGCAGATCATCCGGTCGTGATTGCAAGCTGACGAGCATGACTGATCGGCCCAACCGTGAAGCGCCGAAATGTAGATGGCGAGACTTCGCGAAATTCCAAAAGCATCTCGCTTCGGTAAAATAATAAGTACCCGGTTGACTCGCGAAACATATCCCGTTTCGGCACAATTGCAATTCAGTGCTGTTGCAATTCAGTGCTGTTGCAATTCAGTGCTGTTGCAATTCAGTGCTGTTGCAATTCAGTGCTGTTGCAATTCAGTGCTGTTGCAATTCAGTGCTGTTGCAATTCAGTGCTGTTGCAATTCCGTGCTGTTGCAATTCAGTGCTGTTGCAATTCAGTGCTGTTGCAATTCAGTGCTGTTGCAATTCAGTGCTGTTGCAATTCCGTGCTGTTGCATTTCAGTGCTGTTGCATTTTACTGTGCAATGGGGACTTGACAATCTTGGGCGCTGCCCCAGGGGTGATCGCAAAAAATCTTGCTGTAGGCACACACTACGCTACGTACGAGTCTACGACCGATCATCCATCCAAATGGAAGGATTGGTGGACATCTTCGATCCTCCGCCGATCTTGCCGAGTGTCCACGTCCCCAGATGGGTATACATCTGTGAGTGCACATGTGCATCACATGTGCTGTGTCACACACTGGCTGAGCAGCACTCACAGGCGGGTCGAACTTAGCAGTGTTGGCAGTGACAGGTGCGAGAACGCCCGACACTTGCCCCACATGCTCCTCCGTTGCTAGCTACATGTGCGTTGTTTGCATGCTTGCTTGGGTGTATGCTTGTGTAGTGTACATGTCTGTGTGCGTCTATCTACCCTCTACATGCACTCACAGGCGGGTCGAACTTGGCAGTGTTGACCGTGATGTGCGAGAAGGTGTCCCGCACATGCCCCTTGTGCTGCACCAGGTCGATCCAGCGCATGAGGTGAGGCAGCTCGTCCCTGTCACACGGGGTCACCAGCAGCTGCAAGGAGAACATCATACAGGTGCAGAGGCGCAGGCGGAAGGGGGAAGCGGAAGGCAGGGGTGCGGAGAGGAGATGAGTGCGTGCGTGGTGCACTTGCACATGCCCGTGCCCCCGTTCTCTGCAGGTGGTCCATCCAGTGCAAGAGGTGAGGCAGCTCGTCCCTGTCACATGGCGTCACCAGCAGCTGCAAGGAGTGACACACACGTGGGATAAGGAAAACTTAGGAGCCCAAAGGCAGGTGAGGAAGGAGAAAAGGCAAAGACGCAGAAAGTGGTAAGTGTTGCACACGCCGCCAGCATGTGCATGTAGGTGTGGTGTGGCATGTGCTTCTGTATGTGTATGTGCATGAGCATGTGCATGTGGGTGTTGCATGTGCTTGTGCTTGTGTATGTGCATGAGCATGTGCTCACCATCTCGCACTTCAGATTCTTGTAACCACACCATCAAGCCCATTCCCATGCACATTCCCATGCCCATTCCCATGCCCATTCCCATGCCCATTCCCATGCCCATTCCCATGCTCATTCCCATGCCCATTCCCATTCTCATTCCCATGTCCATTCCCATGCCCATTCCCATGCACATGCCCATTCCCATGCACATTCCCATGCCCATTCCCATGCCCATTCCCATGCCCATTCCCATGCCCATTCCCATGCTCATTCCCATGCCCATTCCCATTCTCATTCCCATGTCCATTCCCATGCCCATTCCCATGCACATGCCCATTCCCATGCACATTCCCATGCCCATTCCCATGCCCATTCCCATGCCCATTCCCATGCTCATTCCCATGCCCATTCCCATGCCCATTCCCATGCACATGCCTGTTCCCATCCCATGCACATGCCCGTTCCCATGCACATGCCCATGCCCATGCCCATTCCCCTTCCCATTCCCATGCATATTCCCATGCTCATGCCCAGTAAACCGCCACGTCATCATGAACCCACCACGTCATCATGAACACCACCACGTTATGATGACGGCATCATGAACCCACCACGGTCCACGTCATCATGAACACCACCACGTTATGATGACGTCATCATGAACCCACCACGGTCCACGTCATCATGAACCCAACACGTCATCATGAACCCACCACGTCATCGTGAACCGCGCCAAAGACTGCAATGTCAGCCAATGTGATTGCGACACCTGGCCCCACGAGCACGGAGCGGGGAGTCAGGTAGGCATTGAGGGCGCGCAGGCGAGGGAGAGGGTCCAGCACTGCAGCTGACGTGGATGCTGATGGGCATGCTGACGTGGCAAGGGAAGCCAGGGAGCCGACGACCCAGGGATGGCGAAGCCACTGAGTCACCTGTTTGGGTGAATTATGTGAAAGGGGGTGGAGAGGCGATAGAGAAGAATGGGGGAAGTGGAAAGGCGGTGGAGAGGTAAGGATGCCATTTTCTTACATGCTCCCCAAACCCCCCTGGGCCCCCTTCCCCCTCACACACACGTCGGACCCCCTGTCTTGCACTACTCTGTCTCTCTTCCTCTACTTCACCTTCAACCCCAACTCCCAAACTCCCAACCCACCCGGCACACCCCCTTAGGCACCGTCACCTAATCTAATCAGCTCCTTCCCCCACCTCAGCACGTGTGGCGCCATCCGCCTCCCCCGAAAAGAGTTTCCCCCCTCGCCCGAAATCCCCCAGCACAACTTCCTTAATCTCTGCGCACATCGCGCCATCTGCCCCCCATCCCCGGCACAACCACCCCTGCTAAAACTCCCCCCCCTCTTGCCCTTCTGCGTGCACGCCATCTGCCCCTGCCCTCACCTCTGCGCGCGCGGCGCCATCCCTTCCCAGCAGCGCATTGGCGGCGTCGCCTCCAGCAGCCAGCGCGAGAGCCGCCCACACGGCTGTAGCGCCCGCTACAGCCTGGTTGCTGCCCGCGTTGATGAGGGAAGGGGCGGCCTGCAGGAGGGAGGGGGAGGCGGGAAAGGAGAAAACAGGAGCACGGAAAAAACGGGAGGCATTGGGGAAACTGTTCGGTAGCAACACCTACGCGTGTGCTCGTGTGCGAGCGAGCGAGGGGTTCCATGGGGCGCGCGGTCCTCAGCGGCCTCTCTTCTTCGCTTGAAGAGGCTGACGCGTAGGCCATCAGCGCGTTCTGATCGTTCTCGCATGCAACCCGGCACTGGGAATCTCGCGCAAATTCTATATTCGCCGACGAACAGCGCAAGCCTTTGCATTGCACAAAAGGTCTGAATCCCCACCTTGTGACACCTCGGCTAGATAGGGTTATAAAAACCCTCTACCTCCCTCGTATGCACCTCAATCCGGGATGGCGAACTGCGAAAGTGAAGATTTTCATCTGAACCAACGGATCGGCCCAACATGCAGCGGCGGCTGGACGGCTTGAAGATCAGCGGCATCGACACGGCCCAATGCGCTACAGCCAGCACTGGGCGACTTCTCAGTCGGCATACAGCTATGACGTTCGCGTCGCAACCGACTATCTGTAAATGCCTTCGGAAACGGCCCGGTGACACTGGAGGTTCTGAGATCCATACGTGCATCTTAATCTGTTAAGTTAAGAGTACCTGATCGGCTGCGGCCTGCACGACGTCCACTGCGAGTCCGCCACGTGCCTTGCACCAGTTGGCCACGGCTATCGCTGTTCTCGACGCTACGTCATTCCCGGCGGTGAGAGTGACCGCCGCGGCGCCATGCGACTTCTCGGAGGGAATCCCCATTGCGGGCGGCTTTAGCGGGACTGCTGAAAGCCTGACTGTCAGACTGAGAAGGGCAGAAGAAGGAACCGAGGTTTCCTGTAAATTGAAACTAGTAGGAACTCAGTTGTCGTCGTCACAATTGAACCCGTTTCCAGCCTATAACAATTAGTTCATCCTTTGTTTGCTGCAGAAAGTTTGTTGTGAGGTGTACCTGGGATAATTGCTGAAGGCTGAAGCCATTTTCCAGCAGTTTATCTGAATGCAGTTCGATGAGGCTTTTCACGTTTTACAACAGTCAACATTTATTGTACAACGGTTGAGTAGGGCACAGTTGAGCGAACTTCTGAAAATTCCCAATCACACCACACCACCCCCGCCAACCGGAATGCTTCACTGTCAGGGAGGACGCGGGTGTGACGGGCATGACGCCCGTGATTTCCGCAACCTGACTGGATGAAGTGGATCATGCCGTAGGCATTTCCCATCCCAGTAGCAAGCCTCTCGATGTTGCACTGCCCCAGCGCGTGCCAAGGGAATACCTCGTCCGGGGCGCGTTGAGATATAAATTCCCAAGGCGAGACGGAGCAGTGACCCTGAGCGACATTACCCATGACTGCACTGCAGCGGGTCGAATCGAATCGCGAGTCGCGACATTCCCAGGACATGCGAGTATCGTCGTCCGTCAACTTGTTATAGCTGCAACTGCGTTTTGTACGTCCGATCGATCTGTGCACCTTATCGAACGGCTTAGCGGGACCAAACGATTCAAGTCTTCGCGAGCTGGGCTCACCAGGCTTGAACGGCCATGGGTGAAAATTCTTGACCCAGCGAATCTTATCTTGGGATCTGCTGCCTAGTTGCAGGAAGCGTTTCTGTTCCTTGGCGCGGAGCGGCGCGTCTTACGAGACCTGTCACTCTATCTCGTGCCGACAACGTTAGTCACACAGTCTCGCGAGCGGATTCGTTCCGGGTATGGTCGTCGCCAGTGGCGGTACTACCAGGGACGATGGACAGCGTTCGCGAGCTAAGCACTCCGTTTTCTGAGGGAGCATTCACGCTGACTGACCCTCCACAACCTCTGCTGCAAGCATGCTCACCAAAACTCAAAACGTCAGGCGAATTTTCCCAGACGACGCTCGCCGAGTCTTGTCCTCCTGCCAGGAAACAGACTAAAATACACTTTTCAGATTTTGGAGCTGGGGGAAGGAGAAAAGAGGGATTAATGGTCCGTGACTCGTTTCTTGATAGCACCAATTTCTTTCCGCATCCTGCATCTCATGGCTTCGTTGGACAACGGGAATCTGGAATTCGAGGACCCTTTTTTCTCTCTCCCCGCCTTCGGGTGCTTCTTCACTGACAGTGCAACGGCAGCTGCTGGTTACTATCCCGGTTCTCAAGCACTCGCAGGCGAGAAGCACGCGAGGGAAACGCTCGAGAGAGAAACGTTAGAGAGTGAAACGCTTGAACAGCAGATGCATGAGGGGAGGCAGAGCCATGAGCGGGAGACGACGCATGAGAGGGAGAGGCATGAGGGGGAGAATAGGTCGTCAATGTCGAACAAGAAGAGCCGCCTGAGACAGCAGTCGGCCATTCTGCAACGACGAGGTGAGGCCGCCCACCCTCCTGCGCTCACCTCCTCTTGGGGAACACCCTTGGGTTCGGTGTGCTGACATCAACCCTTTTGCTCTCATGTTTCAACCTTCAAGATTTCGTGGGGAGTGTTAAGACCTCGATGACCTGTTGAGTGTGGTTGTCTTAACACCAGTTCGTTGTCATTGCAACTGTCATGACCTGTCGATTCCATCTCTTTTGCTCTGTCATATTGCAACTGTCATGACCTGTCAATTCCATCTCTTTTGCTCTGTCATATTGCAACTGTCATGACCTCTCGATTCCAGCTTTTTTGCTCTGTCCTATTGCAACTGTCATGACCTCTCGACTCCAGCTCTTTTGCTCTGTCATATTGCAACTGTCATGACCTGTCGATTCCAGCTCTTTTGCTCTGTCATATTGCAACCGCCATGTCGCACTGGCTGTGCTAAGACCACCTGTGAATGTCAGCCGTTGGTCTCTACTATCACTTGATCTCAGCCATCAATTCCTCTTCTGTTCACTGTCCAGGACGCAATGCGGAATCCGCTCGAGACCTCCCTCCCCCTGCCACTCCTGCCACTGCTACTACTAAAACTGCAACTACCGGCACTCAGGGCGGGTCTGGCAGTCTAAGTAGTGCTGTCCCTCCAGCGACTGAGGGGAAGGCAGCAATAAGGCAGCGGGGAGGCGGCGTGAGCAGCCAGAGGAGCTCCATCTACCGCGGAGTGACACGGTGAGGCTGATATACCCCTCCATCCTCCTCTTTGCTCCCATGTAAGCATTTGTGACGGTTGAAGCTGATTCTGCAGAATGCTCTTTGCCTCTTACTGGAACTCGTCGCCTCGTGTCGTGATGATAAATCAGTGTTGAGGCGCCTGGAAACTCAAACACTCAGGGTCAGTGGCTTTCACAGTTGGAACACGTGTCTGTCTGTTGCTTGGCAGACATCGCCGACAGGGCGCTATGAGGCTCACCTTTGGAGGAGGGCACCAGGTGTATTCTGAGAGGTGACTCAAAGCACGGCTTTCACTGTTGCAACGCGCGTCTCTCTGTTTGCTGGCAGGCACCGCTGGACAGGGCGCTACGAGGCTCACCTGTGGGATAACTCATGCCCCAAGGAGGGCACCAACAAGCGAGGCCGACAAGGTGCATCTGCTCTTGGATTTCTGGGATTTCTGTATTTTGTTCATTCCCTGTATTAACTATCACAGGTTTCTCTAAAGTTCTGACCGTTTATTCATGGACGTTGTACTGTCTGCCTGCATCTGCCCTGCAGTCTACTTGGGTACGTACTCTGCTTTTTTTAATGACACTCTCCAATGGTACATCAAGTTTCCGCTTATAATATCTCTTTCAGTGAAATGAGTGCGACCGGTCTTGGCTTGTTGCAAGTGCAGGAGGGTATGACGACGATGAGACAGCTGCCAGGGCGTACGACCTTGCTGCTCTCAAGTACTGGGGACCCACTGCTGCTACCAACTTCCCTGTACGTCACACACACGTGACAGGTTTGCAGCATAGATTCCATGCTGTTCCTGCACCGCACACAACCATGCTGCACTGGGGTGCCAGCCATTGCTATTCAGCTTCCCTGTGTTTCACATCACATGTCAGTTGTCATTACTCGACCCTTTAACTCTCATTTAAACTTATTTCCCACTCTCGCTTCCCACCTCTCCCGTCCCTGGCTCCCCATCTTTCCTCTCACGTGCCTTACCTCCTTCGAACCCTATCGCATCCGCGTTTAACCTACCGATCCTCCCAGGTTGAGAACTATGAGAGGGAGTTGAGAGAGATGGAAGGGGTTTCCAAGTACGAGTATGTCGCTTCCATCCGTAGGTATGTGTTTTAACATGCTCATATGTTCCGTGCTCCATGCTCCATGCTCCATGCACCATGCACCATGCACCATGCCCCATGCTCCATGCTCCACGCGCCATGCACGATGCTCCATGTGCCATGCTTCGTGCTCCATGTGCCATGCGTCATGCGCCATGCGCCATGCTCCATGCACCATGCACCATGCGTCATGCACCATGCGTCATGCTCCATGCTGCATGCGTCATGCTCCATGCTGCATGTGCCATGCCCCTGCGGCATGTTCCATGCACTTCCATGCACTTGCTCTGGTTGCCAGGGAGTTAAAAAACAGCACAGCGATCGCCCTACACATTCGTGGGAAGTGGCCTTTTGGTGGGGATATTAGAGAAGCTGTGGAAGCGGTGACCTTCCAAAGGCAGTTGCCTTCTTGCCATACCTGATAGGCGGTTCTCTGCCAGTAGAACCGTGGCATCCGAGCAGGAGGTCAGGGATCGAATCCCACCCCCAGAGTGGCCGCAAGTCCAGCTCCTGTGTCTTAGGCTGCTCCTGATGATCGGGGTGTGCGTGCAGTGCAAGGGGCGTTGGGTTCGCCCTAAGGTTCCGTGGGGAGGAACTCATGAGATGAGACTAGAGTAGTACGCTGGGGATGCCAAGGGGAGTTGTGGGACGAGCTTAACCCCATAGCCTTGGGGCAGTGAGTAGGGACTTCCGTTTACCAGGATGAATCTGGAATGGCAGAGTCTGCTATCTCATGCCGCCTCTGCTTGTGCTGTGCTGCCTCTCCGTGCGTGCGTGGGAGTGCAGGAAGAGCTGTGGCTTCTCAAGGGGGGCGTCCAAGTACCGAGGAGTCACCAGGTGTGTTACGGGCACTAGTAGACATGGTAGGGGCCTTGATGAGGTATGGTACTGGCTCTAGGAAGCAGGTGCGAGGCGCTCAGGCCAAGGAGTTACCAGGTCCGTCCAAGTGAATGCACCAGGTGGGGTGCAGGGCGCTTGGGGGGCGCTTGGGGGCCGCTTGGGGGGTGCTTGGGGGGCGCTTGGGGGGCGCTTGGGGGGCGCTTGGGGGGCGCTTGGGGGGCGCTTGGGGGGGGCTGGGGCTGCACTGCCTCTGCTGCGAAGTAGTGCCTGACACCCTCCTGCCTGCCCCCTTGCCCGTGGTGCAGGCACCATCAGCATGGGCGGTGGGAGGCGCGCATAGGGCGAGTCATGGGCAACAAGTACCTCTACCTGGGGACCTTCGGTGAGTGGTGTTTGGAGAGCGAGCGGCGAGTGCGAGGAGTGTGTGGGTCGTGGTGTGTAGGATGTTTGGAAAGCTGTTTTTGGGGAGTGCTGTGTGGGAGGTAAGGGTTCTGTGATTGGCAACAAGAAGTAGTACCTCTACCTGGGGACCTTCGGTGAGCGGCAATGGGGAGCAGTGTGTGAGGAATGGTGTGTGAGGAATGGTGTGTGAGGAATGGTGTGTGAGGAATGGTGTGTGAGGAATGGTGTGTGGGTCGTGATGTATGGGGTGTGTAGAAAGCTGTATGTGTGGGGTGGTGTGTGGGGGGTCAGGAATGGTGGTGGCCAACAAGTGCCTCCATTGAGGACCCTTCAGTGTGCTTTGTGACTCATGGCTGACCTGCTGCTCAGTTCGGTTCCCTCCGCATCCATTCAGGAGGTGTTTATGCCTCTCTCTGACTCCTGGCTGACCTGTTGCTGAGTGCAATTCTCTCCGCATTCATAGCCATGCCTTCATCCCATGCCTTCATTCCATGCCTTGATATTCAGATCCCTTACCTGCAGCTGCAGCCACACAGGAGGAGGCAGCAGAGGCATATGACATAGAAGCAGTCAAGTACCGAGGGCTCAATGCAGTTACCAGCATTAACCTGCCACACTCATCAGATGTCTTCATTCCATCGCTTGTTGTGTATATGCAGCCACACAGGAGGAGGCAGCAGAGGCATGCAGCGAGCTGCAGTCAAGTACAGAGGGCTCAATGTGGTCACCACTGTAGACCTGACACACTCATCAGATGCCCTCATTCCATGTCTTGATGTTCATGTTCCTCATGTGCAGCCACACAGGAGGAAGCAGCAGAGGCTTACGATATAGCAGCAGTCAAGTACAGAGGGCTCAATGCCGTTACCAACTTTGACCTCAGCCGCTACATCGACGGGCTCAGCTCTCAACCCCATGACCCTCACATAGCCGAGGTAACTCAGCAAATGAACCTTTATACATTCTCACTTTATATGTATTCACATGACAACCTTATACTGAAAGCGGGGAGCTTATATTAAGTGTGTTTGACATCCGCAGGAACCAGTGAAGGCGGATTCTGTGGTGCAGCAGGCGATCTCTGACCCGGTTCCCCAGTTCCTCCCGTTCCAGAGCGACCATGCAGCTGTGTGCTTCACTCAAGCAGCGTCGGTTGACCTCAGCGCTCCCCTGCCCCTGCCCCTGCCACTGCATTCAGCGCACATGCTGCCAGCATGCACACCAAACATGGTACATTTGTTCACATCGTTGAATACGTCAGTTGTTGAAAAATGCATTCGTTTCTGTTCTATGGTGAAGAGATAGTGTGCGTGCATGTGCCGTGACTGGTGAGCTGTTTGACTGATGGCTGTTGTGCATGCATCCATTGGTAATTCCCATGGCAGGTGCCGTTGTATAGTCAGCAGAGCATAGAGGTGGACCAGCATCATCACGATGGCAGACCACTCCCAAGCTTTGCTGCTTGGTACGATGACCTCAGCTCCGACATTGGCTAGATGCTGCCACTGTTGTCACTGCTGTTGTCACTTTTGATACTTTTTAAAGATGATTGAAGCATAGCCAAGCTTTGCTGTTTGGTGCAGAGACCTGTTTGAAGCAGCCGCTTCTGTGATCTGAGTCAGAATCCCAACCACTAGACCATTGGAATAAAATGGATTGTTAAGTAGCGGGTCAGTGCGCCAATAATCCCCCAGGCCAACATGCCTGTAATCCTTCCCTATGATCAATCGGGGATCACCAGTGGACCTCTGACACCCCCCCGCACTGGGATGCCCGAAGTGCATACACCGGGATTCGAACCCGAGACCTTCGCTCTGATACCAAGTCAGAATCCCAACCACTAGACCATTGGGATAAAATGGTTTGTTAAGTAGCGGGTCAGTGCGCCCATAACCCCCCAAGCCAACATGCCTGTAACCCTTCCCTAGGATCAATCGGGGATCACCAGTGGACCTCTGACAATCTGGAATGTACCAACATACATGCCATCTGATGAAAATCTCATCAGCTGAATCTGAGTTTCAGTACGAAGTGAAACCTTTACAAGAAAGCATGTGTACATCCATTATGCACGAGAAGAGGGACGGAAGATTGTACACACTCAGATAGGGAAATTCCAGAAAAAGCAAATCCACATGTTCTAAGCTTCATTAACCCCAAATCCATGCCATTCTTCCCAGGAAAAGCTAAGGAACCACCCGCATTAAACATGTACCGTACATGCAGGGAATACCGTAATACCGTAATCACCCGGACATAACACCCTAGGGTCTTACTTTAAATACAGCAAAAAAATGGGGGGGGGTCTTCTCATAGGAAAAAGCTACATACCACTCGGGTGCATATATATGACATTTTTTTAGTGTAAGGGTTTCTATAAATAGGCAGCTTGGGTGTTTTCAAGGTTGGTTTAGCATCACAGTTGGAAGCGAGATTGTCAGTTTCGACGACAACATTGACTCCTCCTTGAAGTTGCGAGGTGGCACCTCTTTGGCCACTTGATAGCGAAAGAACTACCAGCGTGGCAACAATGAAAAAGTGGGACGGAGGTGACCCCAGCAGATACTTTCGAAATTACCATGTAATTTCGTGCAAAAAGTGATCGTCGCGATGTCCCCCCGTCATTGCACATACTCGTTAACACCTAAAATAAGGCATTCTTTGTAAAAAAAGGGGGTGTTATAAAAAATCACCCCAAAAGGAGGGGTATAGTACAAACGGGGTCAACTATAACACCCACCCCGCACAAGCCACCCGGGGGGTCTACAATTTCGGCGGGTGGTATGTCCGGGTGATTACGGTAATAGTCGGCATAATTTTGTTGAAATCTGAGATAGTAGTATGCTTTGTTGATAAATGGTAGACACGTATAAGGATAATATAAGTATACATGTTATGTTTCTATAAGAAACGCTAGCCTCTTGCACACTATTAGAAAGAGTCGAGTCGCCGCGATGACTTGGAGGTTGGAGGCATGAGCTCAGCAGCAACAAAGCACCCCCTTACCAACCCAACCCATGAATCATCCGCTTGGTTGCAGCTGCGAAATTCGCCCCCACTACAACCCTTGGAGCAATGGTTTAGATTAGCCGCTTTCTTGCCAAGAAAGCCCTCGTATTTTCTTCACCTTTCTGCCTTAAAGATTAAAAATTAAATCGGTTTACTATTCGCCTCCATTGCTTGCTACGTTTTGTTGCGGCCCACCGCCGCCATGGCGCCGCCGACCAGCGGCAGTGCGGGCCCGTGCCGTCCGCGCGCAGATGGCGCGACAGAAACAGCGCATGCGCGAGACGACCAGATTATAGCGGAAATCCCGCCGGATCCGGCGAACTTGACGGCGGCAATAAATGCCCCTGCGGTTGCGGCGGCGCAGGAAGAATTCTATTATGGAGCAGACGAAGCGGAGGAGGAGGACGGGAGCGAGTTTCTGGAGCGCGCGCGCAGCCTCCAGGAGGCGGAGGACGAGCGCGCGTTCGAGCCGGAGGAGCAGGTCGACGTGTCGCGCTACAGCCTGCCGCTACAGATGCCGGGCGGCAAGGAGGGTGAGGGGCTGGGCGGCTGACACTGGTTGGTGCGCCATAGGCGGGAGAACTTTGAGTGCAGATCACAAGTTGCTCGCCCTCCCTCTCCCCCAACCCTGCTCTCCCCTCCCCCTGCCCTGCCCTGCCCTGCCCTCCTCCCCCTGCTCCGCCCTCCCCGTGCTCTCCCTCCCCCCTGCTCCTTCCTTTGCGCCTGGACCCACTACACCCTGTCCCCCATACAGACACGTGTCGCTTCTCGTACCCCTTTCCATGCACCCACCTGCTACACCTCATCCCCCAAACAGACACGTTCCGCTTCTCGTGGCGGCGCTTCTGCGTGTTCGTGGGTCCCGGCTTCCTCATGAGCATCGCGTACCTGGACCCGGGCAACCTCGAGAGCGACCTGCAGGTACGGATGGGAGTACAAGGATGGGCGAAAGGGGCAGATGGAATGTCTTCCTCATGAGCATCGTGTACCTGGACCCGGCAATTGTTCTGATAAGCTTTTTGTGCCCGTTTTCTTTCTGCCCACCGCACCGCCCTTGCAACGTGCACATGCGTGTGTGCTGCGTGGCAGGCAGGCGCACAGACGGGGTATGCACTGCTCTGGATACTCTTCTGGTCTACTGCGCTCGGCCTGCTGCTGCAGGTGAGCGTGGGTGGCTCTGCTGCTGCAGATGCATCTCGGCTGGTCATTGGCCCATGCCAAGCGGTTATTGCCTCACGCGCACACTCCTCCCGCCCCGGCTTCTCCTCTTGGCTGTTTGCATCTGTTTGCTCTCCTCATGTGCGACTCTGATTTAGCCTGTTTGCATCTGTTCCGCCGGACATCTCATGACGTCTGAAACGACCCACACACTCCATACCCACCCTCCTTGTATTACCTCTCCACCCTCCCCTATCCCTCTGCCACCCCCCATAACTGCAGCCCACAGCAACGCGGGTGGGCGTGGTAACAGGGTGAGCGCATGTGGGTGTGTGTGGGCGTGACGGGGGCGACCTCTCCAACCCCCAAACTCACCCTCCTTCTAACCCCGCTGACCACATCCCTCTCCACATCCCCCCTTCCGTCAACCCGATGCCCATGCTGCAGGCCATAGCAGCGCGGGTGGGCGTGGTGACAGGGTTCCATTTAGCGGAGCTGTGTCGAATGGAGTACTCACCCCCCGTGCGCTGGGTGCTGTGGGGCATGACGGAGGTGGCCATAGTGGGGGCGGACATTCAGGAGGTTATAGGCTGTGCCATCGCCCTGCGCATCCTCAGCAGAGGGGCTATTCCCATCTGGACTGGGGTATTGATCACAGGGCTCGACAGGTGAGCAATGAGCGTGTGTGTGGGCTCGTGGGTGTGTGCCTGTAACGGGGCTGGGCAGGTGGAATTGGGTTCGCGATTTGGTTTGGGTTGCATGCTGTGTGCTTGGGAGTTGGGACGGAGGTGGGCATAGTGGGGGCGAACATGATGTGTAGATGTAGAATCTGTAGATGTAGATGTAGATGTAGAATCTGTAGATGTAGATATAGAATTTGTAGATGTAGATGTAGAATCTGTAGATGTAGATGTAGAATCTGTAGATGTAGATGTAGAATCTGTAGATGTAGATGTAGAATCTGTAGATGTAGATGTAGAATATGTAGAATCTGTAGAATCTGTACTGCGGAACAACTTCCCCGTCCCTCTCTTCTCCTTGTTGCTGCCCACCTCACCCCCCCCCCCCCCACCTTCCTGCTCCTCTTCCTACCCATTATCTTCATTGCTTCCATGCCGCCTTAAAGCACTCTCCTTGCCCTGCGGCCCTGCCTTACTGCCCCGCCTCCCCCCCTCCCCTCTCCCCAGCTTCCTGCTTTTATTCCTGGAGAACTTTGGCATCCGCAAGCTCGAGGCGCTCTTTGGGCTCTTCATTGCTGTCATGGCCGCCTCCTTCGCGCGCATGTTCGTGGAAGCTGCGCCTGATGCAGGGGCCATCGCACATGGTGGGTGGGTGAACCGATGGGGGGCGTGAAGAATCACATGCATACGCCCAATCACATGCATACGCCCGATCACATGCATGCGCCCGATCACATGCATACGCCCGATCACATGCATACGCCCGATCACAATGTGGGTGAACGAATTCTGGTCACGTCCACTCCACATGTGCATACACATTCACATGCGCGTTGCATCCTCATCGCAACTTTCTCACATTCAACGCATCTCTCTCAATCCGCACTCTCACCCCTTTTTCTCCCCCTCTCCCCTCTCCCCTCTCCCCTCTCCCCTCGTCCCCTCTTTTCCGCCTCTATCCATCCCTGCAGGCCTCCTCATCCCCTCCATCCCTCGTGGAGCCACCAGCATGGCAGTGAGCATACTAGGCGCGGTCCTCATGCTTGAATCGGCCGCCATTCCCCCTCTCCCCCTGCCTAACCCCCCTTTTTTGTTCCTCCTGACCCCCCCTCTTCTTCCCCGCTCCCCGCTCCCCTCTCCCCTCCTCCCCTCTTTTCCCCTTCTTCCCATCCCTGCATGGGCCGCTCTCTGCAGGCCTGCTAGTGCCCTCCATCCCTCATGGAGCCACCAGCATGGCAGTGAGCATAATAGGAGCGGTCATCATGCCTCTCATGCCTTTCCACACCCTTTCACATACCCACCCACCCCCATGCAGGTCTCCTAGTGCCCTCCATACCCCTCGGAGCAACGAGCATGGCAGTGAGCATACTAGGAGCGGTCATCATGCCTCTCATGCCTTTCCACACCCTTTCACATACCCACCCACCCCCATGCAGGTCTCCTAGTGCCCTCCATACCCCTCGGAGCAACGAGCATGGCAGTGAGCATACTAGGAGCGGTCATCATGCCTCTCATGCCTTTCCACACCCTTTCACATACCCACCCACCCCCATGCAGGTCTCCTAGTGCCCTCCATACCCCTCGGAGCAACGAGCATGGCAGTGAGCATACTAGGAGCGGTCATCATGCCGCACAACATCTTCCTCCACTCCGCCCTCGTGCAATCACGTGCCATCGACCGCCACTCCCCACCACGCGTCGCAGAGGCCCTACTCTACTTCACGCTGGAATCAGCCCTCGCGCTGCTGCTCTCCTTCCTCGTCAACCTCTGTGTCGTCTCCGTCTTTGCCCGACTCTTCTATGGGCAGCCGGGAGCAGTGGACATCGGGCTCGACAATGCCGCTGAGTATCTGCAGGTACGTGCGTGTGTGGGTGGTTGCGGCCTTTGGGACGTTTGAAAAGGCGTGTGGGACATCTAGACTTCTGAACATCTACCCGGGCACTGCTGAGCTGACTGACATCAGGCAGGACAGTGCTGCTCACTCTCTGCATGCATGTGTGGGCATTTGAGACGTTTGCTTAAGCTCTTTGAGACCTGTGTGGCGTCTCAAAATCGCCCAGAAGCTGTGTCGTGTCACTCTTGAGCAAGTGCAAACATGCCCAGGAGGAGCTATTTGTGGTGTCAGCATTCCTAGACCTACAGGGCCAAGCGCCATCTTTGGATTGGACCAGATTGCCCTCTCTCTCTCGTCCGCTCTCTCCCCTCTCACCACCACAGCAAGCCTTCGGCTCAACAACCTTCCCAGTGGTGTTCATCTGGGCAGCTGGGCTGCTAGCAGCGGGGCAGTCGTCAACCATGACGGGCACATACACGGGGCAGTTCGTCATGTCGGGCTTCCTCGACCTGCACGTGCGCAAGTGGGTGCGCGTGTGCGTCACCCGCACCGTCGCCATCGTCCCCACCATCGCCGTCGCTCTGCTTTACACGTCTCCCGCTTCGCACGCACCGCATGCACCACCGCAGCTGTCACCACCCTTGGTAGCACTGCCTGTGCAAGTGACAGGGGGAGCGGGTACAGTAGAAGGGACAGCAACTGCAGCAGCAACAGGAAGATTGCTGAAAGAAGGGCTCTTCACTCCTCCCCTTCCAACCTCCTCCTTGGCCTCTGTCTTTCCTCTTTTCATCAACACCTCCCTTCCTGCCTCCTCTTTCTCCTCACCTCTCTCCTCGAGCCTATCGCTGCAACTTTCAACCTCTCTCCCCACCTCATTCCCTTCCTCACTCGCATCCCCCGCACTGACGGCAACCCCCATGCTAGCCCTCTCCTCACTGGACGTGCTGAACCAGTGGCTCAACGTGCTGCAGTCCGTGCAGCTACCCTTTGCTGTCATCCCCCTATTAGCAATCGCGTCGTCAACACACGTGATGGGGCGATACGCCATCAAGGGAGCAGTCAAGGTGAGCGCAATGTGCTGCTGTGCTGTCAAGTTGAGGCGACTCCACGTCCTCAACAACTGCCTGCAGTCCGTACAGCTGCCCTTTGCTGTCATCCCCCTGCTAGCCATCACGTCCTCAACACACACGTGATGGGGCGATACGCCATGAAGGGGCAAGTCAAGGTGAGTGTGTGTGAGCGTGAGAGTGAGGTGGCTTGAGTGTGACATGTGAGTGGGTGCACACGAGTATGCCTCAACGTTCTGCAGTCCGTGCAGCTGCCCTTTGCTTTCAACCCCCTGCTGCCCATTGTATCGTCAACACATGACATGGGCCGATACGCCATCAAGGGATCAGTCAAGGTGAGGTGTGTGTGAGTGGGTGAGTGGATGGGTGGGTGAGTGAATGGGTGAGTGGGTGGGTGAGTGAGTGAGTGGGTGAGTGGGTGGATGGGTGAGTGAGTGTACGTGACCATGTGGCAGTCCATGCGGCTGCCCTTTTCCGTGATCCCCCTTTTCGACATCGCATCGTATTCGCGTGTCATGGGGTGATGTGCCATCAAGGGGCTTCTCAAGGTGAGGTGTGGGTGAGAGTGCTAGTGTATGTGAGTGTGAGAGTGTGTGTGAGTGTGAGTGAATGTGAGTATGTGGCAGTCCGTGCAGCTGCCCTGCCTGATTATCACCTCTACCTCCCTCTTCCCTCTTCACCCCATTCTCTCTTCGCTCTGAAACGTTTCTCCTCCCGTCCAAGTGTCACCCTGGTTATTACCATCAACTTCTACCTCCTCCCTCGCTCTTGTTCCCACCTCTCCTCTTTCCTTCTCCCCTCCTCTCCATTCCCTCTCCTCCTCCCCACCAGGTGCTGGCCGGGTCATCAGCAGCACTGAGGTCAATCTCTTCAACTATCTCCCTCTGCTTCTCTCCCCTCCTCTCCTCCCCTTTCAGGTGCTAGCGTGGGCATCAGCAGCACTGGTAATCACCATCAACCTCTACCTCCTCTTTGACTTCACCACAACCAACCTCTCTCACTCCCTCTCCACATTCCTCCTCCTCCTCCTCCTCTCCCTTCCCTACCTCCTCTTCCTCATCCACCTCGCCCTGCACCCCCGGAGCGAGGGCTCCGAGTTCAACCATCCCCACCGCTCCCGATCGCACAGCACCTGCAGCAACGAACACTGCCGTCTCGCCAGCCCCACTGGGTCCAGTCAAGTAGTAGATTGTGTAACTTGTTCTGGTCCTGCTGGTTCCGATCAAATGGATGGGGGTGTAGGAGTTACTAGTGTCAGCTGTAGTGGCAGCAGCAGCGACACAATCTTCCCCCCTCGAACTGGACGTTCCGGGAGGGGAAGTGGGCTGGGCATGCCTTTGATGGATGAGAGGTTGGACGAGTAATGCTCTCAGGAGGCACATGCACAGGTGTGGCATGTCAGTGAAAACAGAGGGTTACCTGTGTGCTGTTACTTATCATGTAGTGTACAGTACAGTGTTGTTTTTGCAGTGCAACTTTTGGCATGCATTTCAAGTTCACTTTTGCAAATTATGGTAGACAAGACAGGCTGCAAGTTTGTTCCGTTCTCATGCCTCTCTGCATCCACAACTTGCCAATCAGTGCTGTATTTTCCCGGATGCAGGCCCCTAGATTGGTTTTGGGGTTGGCTGAAAAAACAGAGTTCACTGGTAAATTTATGCTGAAAATCAGCAAAAAATGACATTTTTCATTAAAAACCACTAGAAAATCACCAAGATTTTTGGGGAAAAGGCTGACGAATCAGTCTTGGTACAGAAAAAAAAGGCTGAAAAAAAGGCTGAATCAGGGTAAAACGGCTGAAATCTAGGGGCCGGATGACTCCATGTTAGGGCGTGTTCCGTTCCGACACCGCATATCAGGCAAACTGTCAGAAAAATGAACGAGAATGAATGAACTATGAAACAGTTGGGTACAAGTACTAACCCTAATTGGGTTGTACCCCTTATGGGCTACCACACTATAGCCTACACAAACTAAGCAACATAACATTTTGACACACCCCCATAGGCAAAGTGGGGGAGAACAAGTGGTCACAAGACCAGTCAAAAAAAGCAAAGCAAGCTCAGGGTGGATCACAAAGTCACCACATAGTCCGAGCACAAGCAAAGGGCCATAAGGCCAGTTCACATGCAGTGTTATATAAAGAGCACAAACAGTACAAGGATCATAGCCTAGCAAGAGTAAGCATGCATGTATTGTCAGAATTGTATATTGCTTACAATTGTGTAGGCTATAGTGGGGTAGCCCATAAGGGGTACAACCCAATTAAGGTTAGTACTTGTACCCAACTGTTTCATAGTTCATTCATTCTCGTTCATTCTGTTGGGCTGAGATAGCCCTTAGGATCTTTGCAGGACAGAATTCAAGGGTAGGACAATGTAATAGCGGAAGCGTTAAGTAAAAGGACTTGTGAACCACCTTGCGCTGGTATGTGAGGGCAAAGTTGATTGATTAAAACAAAGAGATACAAGCTTTTTATAAGGATACAAGGAATATGAAGAGATACGGTTAATAACCGTTTTACTGTTGCTGTTGCGGTTCGATACAGTGTCGACTCGGGCAACTGCTCAGTAGCGAGTCAGTTGTTTGTCCTTGCTGTCGCGCTGTATTTGTCAGGTCAAAGGTGTCAGAGGTCCACTGGAGATCCCCGATTGATCCTAGGGAAGGGTTACAGGCTCGTTGTCCTGGGGGGTTATGGGCGCACTGACCCGCTACTTAACAAGCCTTTTTATCCCAGTGGTCTAGTGACTGGGATTCGGACATGGTATCAGAGCGAAGGTCTCGGGTTCGAATCCCAGTGTGTGCACTTCGGGCATCCCAGTGCGGGGGGGTGTCAGAGGTCGACTGGAGATCCCCGATTGATCCTAGGGAAGGGTTACAGGCTCGTTGTCCTGGGGGGTTATGGGCGTACTGACCCGCTACTTAACAAGCCTTTTTATCCCAGTGGTCTAGTGACTGGGATTTTGACAAAAGGTCGCTGACCTTTGACTTTCGCGTAACCTCCAGCAGTTGTTCAACCTCCGAGGGTTGACTCGCTGATGTTTCGATTTGATCTGCTTCGCTTCTGTCTAGGTGTTTCGACACAACAGAGGCGCTTAAATCAATTGTTTCCAACACTCCCCTTCGCTTCTGGACTGTCGCTGCTGATGACGTGGCTTTGTCCAGTCAGCAGCATGCAATATTCGAACTTCGACTTTCCGAGCTTCTTGGTCAAGTAATCGGCTGCCATGTCGGATGTGGGACAGTAAGACAGTGAGAAGATTTGAACAAGAATGGATGAACTATGAAATGAAGTGAGTACAAATATGAAACCCTAATTGGTTGTACCCCCTATGGGATACCCCACTATAGCCTACACAACAGCATAAGCTATAATGTTCTGACACACCCCCATAGGCAAAGTGGGGGAGAACAAGGGGTCACAAGACCAGTCAAGCAAAGTAAAGCAAAGCAAGCTCAGGGTGGATCACAAAGTCACCACACAGTCCGTGCACAGGGTCAAGGCCAGTTCACATGCAAGAGTACACACATATATATAAAGCTAGACAAGCAAGAGCAGGTACATATATATGTGAGAGTACAAGCAAGGTCAAGAGGAGAGCAAGTGAGGCAAGACGGGCACAAGACCCAGCTGAGTGCAGAAGCGCTGATGATCACAAGGCGGAAGTGCCTTGGTGAAGACATCAGCAGTGTTGGCCTCAGAGGCCACGTACGCAAGCCGCAACTGTCCACGTTGCTGTAGCTCACGAGCAAGGAAGTAGCGGAGAGCAATGTGCTTTGTTCTGTGCTCCAGTCGCTGCTCTCGACACAAGGCCAGCATGGCCTTGTTGTCTACGTACAGGACTGGAGGAGAACGAGGCGGCTCTCCAAGGTCGGTCAGCAGGTAGGTGAGCCAGCGAAGCTCCTGTGCAGCCATGGCCCCGGCGTAGATCTCAGCCTCACAACTCGAGCCAAGAACAGAAGACGAGCGAGTAGCCCGCCACGAAACAGAGCCGGAACCAAGGCTGAAGGTATAACCCTGTGACGACCGCTGCGTAGCCTGGTCGTCAGCCCAAGAAGCGTCCGCGTGCCCAGTGAGGACCACTGGACTCCGCCCTCCAAGCACTAGCCCCATGCCCGACGTACTGCACAAGTAGCGCAACACCTTCTTCGCTGCAGCCATGTGCTCTGGTCTGTGTCTCCCAGGAGCAACATAGCGTGCAAGAATGCTAAGAGGGTATGCAAGGTCAGGTCGTGTGCAGGTCATCAGGTACATGAGGCAGCCAACAAGCTCTGGGTACGGGCCACTCGACTCTACGGACTCATCCGAAGGCAGAGCTGAGAGCGAGTGGCGAGTAGACAGAGGAGTGGCCTGAGGCGAGGAGTACGTGAAGCCGAAGCGCTGAAGGACCTGCTGCACCATGTGTGACTGAGTCAGGGTAATGGTGCGGCGTGCTCTGTCCCGGGTGATCTGCAAGCCAAGGTAGCTGCGCAGTTCACCCAGGTCTGTGCACGTGTGTCTCTTCTGCAGCTCGGACTTCACGTAGGCGAGTCCAGCAGTGTCAGCTGTGGCAAAGACCAAGTCGTCGACGTACACGAGGATGTAGAACGGCGGCAGAGAGGTGTCGGTGCGTAGAAACAGCGACGGGTCGGCAGTAGAAGGAGCAAACCCAAGAGCCGCAAGCGTAGTCCTCAGTGTGTCGTGCCACTCACGTGGCGCCTGGCGGAGACCGTAGACTGGACGCCGGAGACTCCACTGGGTACCAGGAGGGAAAGACCCAGTGAAGCCAGGTGGGCGACGTAGCCAGATCTCCTCGTGCAGGCTGCCCTGCAAGAAAGCTGTGCTGAAGTCAAGAGAGTGCAGCTCGTAGTCACGGTGAGCAGCAACGTGCAGCAGTACCCGAAGAGTGGTCATCTTCGGGGTGGGGGAGAAGGTCTGAAAGTAGTCAACTCCCTGCCGCTGACTGAAGCCACGAGCCACGTAACGCGCCTTGAAGACAGGCGGAGAACCCGGCGGCCGCTTCACCCTGAAGATCCACATGCCACTGACGATGTTCGCCCCAGGAGGGGGGACAGCGTCAACGTAGGTGCCTGTGGACTTCCAGGAAGCCATCTCTGCATCCATAGCTGCCTGCCACTGAGAGGAGTAGGGACCCTCTATCGCCTCCGCGTAAGAGCGCGGAGTCGGGATGTCAAGTGCATCCGGGTCTCCCTCAGGGGTAAGCAGTACGGACACGAGATGAGGTGAGGCAACTGCCAGACACTGGAACTCCTCCTGCCTGTCCTCAAGAACGTCCGTGCCAAGGGCACACTCACCCCCGACGGACGGAGGACAGACAGACTCAGACTCAGCGACAAGACTGGCAGCGTAGTCTAAGCGACAGCGAGCAGCAAAGTCGACGAGCTCAGTAACGAGAGCAGACGCAGCAGTAGACTCGAAAGAGGGGTCAGTGACAACAGTAGCAAGGAGACGCGTGACAGTAGGACTGGCAGCACGAAGAGAGTCCGACTCCGGGTCGGCAAGAGCAGGAAGAGAGGACTCAGGAGGAGAAGGCAAAGGGGCACGCAGAGGAGCAGTGGACGGACGCAGAGACATCTGGTGCGTGCCAGGGACAGGAGGAGGACGCTGACGTGAACCGCGACCACTAGTGCGAGCAGCACGGACAGGCGACGCAGGGCGAGACGCAGGCTCACGACGCTCAGCCAGACCTCCAGTAGGACCAGTGTAGGGAGAAGGAGCAGGCAAAGGGGAGGTAGGCTGCAACTGTAGCTGGGACGAGACAGGCCGTGGACACTCTAAGGGAGGAGGAGGACCAGTAGAAGGCGGAAGACCAAGAACCTGCTGCAGGAGTGGAACGAAGTACGGTCGAGGCCGCGCGGCGACGCTAGAAGCAGCAGGGACAGCACCAGAACCCTCAGCAGGAGCACCCGCTCCAGCAGCACCACCAGTAGCTCCAGAACCTCCAGCAGCACCAGAAGCACCCCCAGTAGGACTGCCAGCGGTAGTCTCAGCGCCAACACCCTCAGCAGCACCAGCTCCAGTGCACCCAGGACGAGCACCTCCGGGACCCGCGACCGTAGCACCCTCAGCAGCCGAAGGACCTCCAGTACCAGCAGCACGCCTCCAGCGCCGGGCAAACCACTCACGCAACTCCTGTGGAGAAAGTGGCTCCCGGCGAGACAAAGCACTCGGAGAACCTCCAGGCGGAGCACCTCCAGGCTCAGCACCCCCAGGCGTAGCACCCCTAGGCTCAGCACCCCCAGGCTCAGCACCCCCAGGCTCAGCACCCCCAGGCTCAGCACCCCCAGGCTCCGCACCCCCAGGCTCAGCACCCCTAGGCTCAGCACCCCTAGGCTCAGCACCCCCAGACGTAGCACCCCCAGG